TTATAAGCTCTTGAATTTAAATTTCCTGGAAGATTACTCAACACAATATTATTCAAATCCAATGGCACTTAATCTCAAATATCCCAAGACCTTAACCAATTGAAACTATATTTAAATATTTATGGACCATCACTTAAGTCATTCTCTTTAGTTGTTTATAATGCTAAAGTATATTTTTTGTAAATGGATTTGATTGAAAAGTGTATTTTACCATATAAAGAAATTGATTTTAAATAGAAAGAATATTCCATATTATTTGATTTTATTATTAAAATATATTATTTTATATATTTATATTTAAAAGTTAAATATAAACATAAATTTTAGATAAAAATATTTTAAGTATATATATATTTATAAAATAATAGGAATATTTTATAACCGTAATATTCACTATATTAATCTTAGAGCAGGTAAGCAATAATTTTTTATTACAAGCTAATGCTAAGATGGAATGATTGTAAACTAATAACCTGTAAACTGATATCTAATGACAAAATATATTAGGAAAAATAATTGGTTGCTAATGAAGAACAAGAGTTGTAACTAGGTAAATGAAATGTTTTGTTAAATGAATTTCATTTGAAAGTTGAAAGTATAGAAGTATATGTTGAGATTCTAAAGTATAAAAGAGAGGAAAAACAACACATAAAACAGTGATTTCTACTTGTTAAGAAACACACTACTTAGAGAATATCATTGTGCTTAAAAGCCCCTATCTCTGCTCAAGGGTGATGGATTCCCAGCTCAACTAGTCAGGCACTATGTAGCAACTTTTGGTATGGAGACCATTGTCCACATCATGACTGGATAAGTGTTAAGAGCAATGGAAGATAAACCAGTTCCTTAACACATGGGAAAGAGCATTATTGCCAAGATTGAAGAAGAAACTGGAAATCCTAAAGCATAAGGCACTAGTTATTAGGCTTGGGTCTGACTTATGGCTGCATTGTCTCTCTACGTTTGGATTTGGATTCTCAATTTTGCAGCTATGTAAGATTGAAATGAGACTCAAATGATCTCCAGCCTTATATAACTTGTTGACTATGCTTGTTGTTTGTGTGTAAAGCTTAGCTTTAGTGTTTCAAGGATCAAGACAACTACTAATTACCAGGCCACCTAAGAGACTCCAAAGAGCTGGATGAGATAAGTAGATAGAAAAAAAAGTTTTTCAAAACTTTTAGCCCTCTTCACAAAGGTTTATCCTTCCCATCATTTCTTAATCATCTCCTTTTATCCTAAAAAATTTTTTCTCTAAAGGAGGGGTTAAACATAAAAATAAAAATGGAGAGATTATGTAAAAAAAATTAAACTTTAATAGGTTTAATACATGTAATGTAATAATTATTATTTCAAAGAAGATCATAAAATAATACATGAAAATTCCTAATATTATTTTATTATAATGCTTTTTCCAACTAAAATTGAGATTAGCTTATATTTCTTTAGTAACATATTTTATAAAATATATATTATATTATTATTTTAGAATTTCACTAATTATTAGTTGACTTGATTAAATAATGAAGTCATTATAAATAAAACACCTTACAGATAAGTAAGGAATGGCTAAATTCATATTATTTGCTGTGTTTTCTTTAAATTTTAATTTTTGCCTATCTATACAATTTGAGCATGCTAATTCTCTTGCAATCTCAATTCTTACAACAAGATTCATAATAAACAGAATTCAAGAAATAACAAGAGAAATGTTTTATGATAGAGAAAGATATGAACGTGGTGTAAGATATAGTTCAATCTTTCCAATAGCTTATAATCAAAGAGGATTGCTTACAATTCATATTCATAACCATAATCATGGAATAGCTGGTGGAACTTGTACTGCAAACCCAAGTAATATAAATACTGTATTTGGGCGCACTGCAATAATTGCTTTAGATAGTATTATGACAAATTCAATATTATTACTAGAAACATATTGTCCAAGCTATTTTAAAGCAAGTACAGTTGGATATGCAATAGAATTTCTAATTAAAGATAGGCTATATGATAATAGTTATGAAAGTACTGTTGTTACAGTTTCAAATACTTATTCTTTATATGATGAAGATATATATTGTAATTCAATAATTACAACCACATTATTTAGTTGGTGGCCTCATAATATACTTGAGGCAGAACAATCATTATATTCTCCCGATCATTATTTTAAGTTAACAATGCAAAAAGATTGTAACTTAGTTCTTTATTATGGTAATAATCCAAAATGGACATCTAATACATATAAAAAGGGGTTAAATTGTCATCTCATATTGCAATACGATGGAAATCTTGTAATTTATAATAGTTTAGAGAGTGTTTGGCATAGTAACACTTATTGTGGAGTTGAAGGATGTTTAAGACCATCATTCTTATCTATGCAGAATGACTGTAATTTAGTGCTTTACACTATACCTTCGTCTAGGAATGATCATGTAGCTCCTTCATGGTCTTCAAGTTCAATCAATTGTATTTAAATCTTGATACACTTTTAAATTTTGAATAAAATCTATAATGTACACAACACACGACTACAAGGCTTCTAGAGATGGCCAATGAGAGAACTGGCAGCTTGAAAGACGATCATCTCCATGGTCATATCTACACGCACAGCACGGAAGAAGCTATGAAGCTTGTCTATTTTGATGCCAAGCAGAAACATGATTGCATAAATGTTTGAGCGGGATTTCATACCGTACGCAAAGCTTTCCATTCAAACTTCATACACGCGACAATTTCCATAGTTATTTGTTTGACCAAGGTGAAAGTGGAACACTCTTTGCTTTTCACCTCTTGGGATTGTACGGACAGGTAAGCTGCGTCAGCAGCTGCGAAGGGTCATAGAATACCTCCAGTCTTCCTATCTTGAGCTCATCGTTCACCTATTTCGAGTGAGGGGAAAAAGAGAGAAAAGTTACTCATGTGAAATGGTAAAGTTTTTTTTTTTACCTCTGCTATTGCCATTCCAAACATCTCCGCGGTCTTGCCATTGGGATTGTGTTCTTTGAAACTACCTTCCATTTTTCCCCAGTGCCTCCACTTGAACGCGACTGTGGGAGGCCCGGAGAAGACCTCAAGAACTTCCCACGCAAATCCATTGGGAAAAACTCCACGAAATATCTCGTGAGACGATTCGAAAGTCTCCTGCGAGGATTTGTAGAGCGGAGGATTGTTTGCTCCTCCATGTTCTAAGCTTGCGAGCAGCGCATTGTAGCTTCCAGCGCGAAGAAGCTCCTCGCCAGTCATGGTTTTACCTCCTGGATCATAGATTTACAGGGTAGCAAATCACAAGAACAAGAACAATGGTTACCATTGACGGAGAAAGAGAAATTTTCAGCATCGATGCTCTTGAAATCCTTGATTCTTGTCTTGTGCGTCAGCTCCATCTCCCATGTCTTGACTAAATTCTGGACTGTCTCCTCCAGAGACCCAGGCTTCCAATCCTGCGTAAACAGCGTGATTGATCAATCAAACGATTTTTCTCCATGGAGATCTCAGATATCTCTCACCTTGGTTCGCCCGGATCGGAATGTGCGATTGACAAGATCATACTCTGGCGCTTCCCCAAGCCTCCACACGGTATCTTTCTCGGTATCTCCATGCAAGAAGCTGCGATACTCATCCCCCTTCTCGAGCTCCAAGTCTTTCACGCTCGAAGCGATTTCTTCCATAGTTCTAAATTTCCCCTTTTCTCTTTTGAAAGAAGTCGGTCAGTAAGCTTATAACATAAAGTCCTGCCATAGTCATTGTTTGACTTTATCGCAAAAATCATTATTCAAAATGAAATTATCTGAATGTCACATCATAGCCTTGACAAAGTATTGCATTTACAATTGTATCGCTTTCTGAGATCGCATTAAGCTCGCGGTCAAGCCAAGTGCCCAGTGTATAATAATTTAATATTATAGTAACATAGTAATTTTTTTCTATACTTGGATTTTGGCTGGCAAGCAATTTGCAAATGATTTAAATTTCAAAAGTCAAATTCATGCAAAATATCGTACTCCTATGACGTGTTTGGATGGAAACTTATGATTTTTCATTTACATGTATGGATTTTCCATGTTTGTCTAGAATGATTACCATGTTCATTGTCAAGTCCTAGACCCCTATTCACTTAAGAGCTCCAAGTCTTTCATGTTCAACTTCAATGCTTCTAAAATTGATCCCTTTGAAAGAAGCTGGGCAGTATGTAGCTAAAGTCCTCGCATATGGAAGAATTAAAGAGAAACCATTTAAATCCTTACCATGTTTCATTTACATTTGAGCACTAAAACTTTCTATCCTTCACACTAGGATTTGAGTCTTGGAGCTTGGCAAGATTTTCATGAGTACTTTAATTGAGTTCCTCGGAGAAAAGTTTGATGTGTTACAAGGGGTGGTAGTGGCATCAGCGTGAATCCCACAGGAAATTGTCTATTCAATGCCAATTGAATCCACAAGGAGAAAGCAACAAGAACCACACTCAGTGAGACATTACATCTAATCAAATCCTATCTACTCTTGGAGATGTGATCGACTAGGATTTTTCAACAGTCAAAACAATTTAAGGCAGTTCAAATTTTTCTACTGCATAGCCGTTTGAACAGGCAGGGTTTGTGCATTGGCAAGGTCATAATCATAGGGAGATAAATGTGGAAAGCTTGTGAGAGCCACATGACACCTGCTGAAGGAGTTGCCTAATTTCCAGGAACAGCTTTAGAGAAAATTATGAATGCTCTTGGCGATTTAGCACTGGGCAGCTTCGGATTATGGCGCGACGTGGTGGGATGCATCTGTTTCCCTGCCGGATCCGAGATGGGCGCCGCCCCATCCTCCTGTGCCACATTCATCAACAGCTCCATCGCCCTGGCGCGTGTCAATGGATTCCACGGCCTTCTCCTCTGGACGAAGAATCTCATACAAGCTCGGATCTTTGGAGCTCCAAGACATGCGAATATCCTTGGCTTGTTGAGATCAATATTATCAAAGGAAAACATATGCCATTATAGGGCAACAGATATATTTAGGGTTTGTGTAGCTTCTTCTCCGTGATGGGGAAGAGTGGGGCGGGCAGCGAGCTCGCCAAGCTCGATGTCCTCGTCGCGCAGCTCGAATCGATGGCGGCGTCCTTCAAATTGCAGCAGCATTTGGATCCGCTCATTTGCTTCGATCTCCTGGCGGATCTCATCTGGACGATCGACGACGAGTCTCCGGTATAGTGTCGAAATATCGCAATGCCGCTCGGATCTCATGCTGGATTTCTTGAATTCTCTCGCTTCCAGGACCGGATTCTGGCCTGCCAGAGGAAATGCGAGGACGCTCTACAGAATTTACTGCTCCTGGGAGTCCGACCGCCCGTGAGACATCTCGCTGCGTCGGCAGTCTTAGAACTGATGATCAAAGGAGACAGCATTTCTATTTATTCGCGGGCGAGCAGTCTTCAAGGATGGCTCACCGATAACAAGAAGGGCGACCCTTCTTCATTCATTGGTAAACTTCTTCTCTATCTCTTTCATCCTTTTTATATCTCTGTCTCGGTTGGAATAGGTGCTGCCCAATGCTTGGGCACTTTATATCGCTCATATGGACCAAAGATCACTTCAAATCTTGGAGAGACGAGCACTCTAGTGGCAAAGCTGATGAGATTTCAGGAGGTATTTTGGCTTACGGCTTTTTGATTTACGGTAAAAGTTTGTGCTTGCTCTTCGTAGGTGTCGGTAAGACAGGCAGGGATACAGCTTCTTCACGATGCGCTAGAAGGTTGCGGGGGAATTGGCCCTTGGTCTGCCTATGCAGATGGATTGCGGGTGATATTGAAGTCGGGCGTGACAGACAAAAGTGCTGGTGTGAAGGCCATATCAGCCGGATGCTTGAGACTATTTGCTGTCACTGGAGGCCCCGGATTTGGCCCAGGAGCTCTTGAGAATTGCGCTAGTCTGTGCCTAAAGGTACGATGAACATTTCCTTTTTCGAGCATCCAAAGTTCTTTACTTTCTTTTCCAGGCTTTAGAAGACGCATCGCAGTCTGTACAAGATGGCTTTGCAGCAGCTCTGGGCGCTCTTGTCGCACTTGGGCTGAATCCACAAGGACAGGTGTTTTCATTTTTGGTTGTGCTTGTGCTTTATCTGACTAGTGCTACAGATTCAACCAAAAGGGAAAGGTGGTGCGCCTCCCCCACCAGCTAAAGTTCTGGAAGGCGCTTTGGACAAGTACCTAGTTGCACCGTTTGTGAAAGGTAGGAAGAAGCTTGGTGTCTAACCTGTATAATTCGTCAGTATCAGGTCCTCGGCATAAAGACTTTCGGGTCGGGCTTGCAATGGCATGGGTAGCTTTCTTGCAGGTAAAGTAGTTCTCAAGAAGGTTCCTTTTGAAGTTGTAACCATACAGGAAATGCACTTGTGCTATTCAAAAAATGACTTTGAGCTGGGAGCCTACGCAACCCAAGTAATCAACTTGCTTCGCTCAGCCAACTCGCAAATAGACCCGCACGCCCAGGTTCAGATTTTTTGAAGCTATGTTATGTGAATTTCTAAATTTTCCACTTTACAGGCTTGTGTCTTGTACATTCTTCGTGTTGGCATTGTTGAGCAAATGGGAGAACCGGGTCAAAAGGAGTTAATGAGTATGCTATGTAAACAGGTAATTGTTTTTCCTTACCTAACAGTTTAGTTATACTCGCGAAATTGGAACAGCTCAACTTAGCCGACAACAGCCCTTCAATGCTTGTGGTTTTACTGAGGACACTGTCACACCTTTTGACAACGCTTGGAGAGGTTTGTACACTTCCTTTATTCGGCGAAATTCTATTGTTTTGAAAAAGAAAACAGGTGACATTATCTGCTCGTGATGCTTTGGACGGTGCGCTAGTTTCAAGCTCGTCGCATTATTCAGTAGAGGTACGTGTTTAAATCGTAGTCCAAAATTAGATCAGATGAACAGGTACGCGTGGAAGCAGCGCTAACTTTGCGGACACTTGCGGAAGTAGATCCAACATTTGCAAGTAACGTTATGTCTTGTGCCGTGACAACCCTGTGGGCAGTGCATGAGGCAGTCGCTGTAGAAAAGGTATTAAGAATGCCAAACTGTTTCTTTTCTTAGCCGGTTACTTTGCAGGGTGATCGTCTGAAGCTTCAACTAGGTGCACTACATGGACAGGCTGCGTTGCTGGCCGCACTTCTTGCATCATACCCGAAGCTATTACTTGGCCTGCCGTCAAGGTACTGGTACGCTGACGTTTCATTTGACAACTTTTATTTGGTGTAGACTGCCGCTGGCTGTTCTGGACGTTGGAAGAAAACTTGTTTTACAACCCGTTCGAAACTCTCTTTCTGCAGCGTCTGAGAAAGAGGCGGGATGGATGCTGATAAGCTCTTTTGTTTCATCTCTGCCTAGAGAAGTGAGCTGCACCTCTTATTGGAATACTAGATACTGACTATAACTGTCACAGGAACTCAGAGAAAAAGAACGTGAGCTGATTAGCCTGTGGACCGCTCCAGTTTCTGGAAATATTGACGGCATGCTTAAACAACTGGGAGGAAATCTTGCTGCCGAAATCAGGTATATCGAACGAACAATGTGTGGGTCAAAATTGACACATTTATTTACTAGTGGCTGGTCGGCAGCAGTCGAAGCACTGACGGCTTTTGTTAAAAACTACTTAATGGCTCAAATTTCTCCTGAGCGCGAAGGAATGCTAATTCAACCCGTACTTGGATATTTGAGCGGGTAATGCATGCTCCTTTCTGATAGCTTCAATTTGATGTGCTTCTAAATTTGTTTTTCCAGTTCCCTCTCGTGCCTTTCGTCAAACGTGCTACAGCAAGCAACTCCACCTTTAAAACCATTCGTTGATGTTTTTATAATCAAAGTCCTACGGGCGTTCAGAACGCTTCCGGCTCCACTTTCCTACAAGAACGAGCATACCCAACTTTTGAGGATTTGTACTGCTCCTTTCAGGTATGTGTTTCATCTGGTGTTTTCTCTAACCTTCAATTCTGACAGAGAACCGTCGAGCTATGGGGAAAGCTCCTCTTTGCGTTTGTTGCTTGATGCAAGAGATGCCTCACTTGGTCCATGGCTACCTGGAAGGTTGTAAAGCGTTTTTTTTAAAGAACGATCTAATAGTTTTCTCTTCAGAGATTCATTTCAAGACGAAATGCGTGCATTCGAAGGTGGTGGAGACGGATTGCTTCCATGTGTATGGGAGGAAGTGCCTGCGTTTCCACAGGTTTGTCACGTACCTTTATTATACTTCTGTTAACAATGAGTTATTTCAGCCGGTTCCCATGGAAACCACGCTCGTCGACGAGATGATGTTGTGCTTGGGAACACTTTTTGGAACCCAGGTAATAATATAGTTTAACTTGGCTCATCTATTTATTTTGCTGGAAATTCCCAGTCCGAAACGACAAGGCTACAAGTGCTGGACGTGATGGAAATGTCAATTAAAAATGGGAAAAAGCCCTCGTATGATGCGAGCTTAACAAATATCTGTGTTGCGCTACTTGGAAGTCTTAAGGTATGCAACATTATTGTGATTATTTTTATGCTCATTGTTTATATTGCTACAACTTTTAGAAATCTGTAGCACAACGGATTCAAGAACATCCTGAAGGAGAGGTTTTGAAACGTATTCAGACGTTGTTTGAGGTCAGATTATTTGTATAAGCAAGTCGATTTTACTGACTGTAGCACGTGCAGGACATTCTCTCGGAAGAAACAAGTGCCACGACCCACCGCCGTGCTGCTGCCGAAGGACTTGGCTTACTGGCAAAAATGGGAACAGATGTTTACGCTGCACGTCTGGTATCGATGCCGTTGCCCATGTCAAACAATCCTTTTTGTTTTTTTGCAGATGCGATCTCTTTTGAGCGATGTAGGTGCAGCAAACGAATCTTTGCACAAAGGCTCAGTTGCATTTGTTCTTGGATGTATTCATCGCAGGTTATACGGGCTTTTATCTAGGCTGTTGATGCTAATAATCTTTTGATGTTACAGTGTAGGGGGTATGGCACTTTCAGCTCTTGTTCCAGCAACTGTGCAAGCCATATGCTCAATGGCTCGGGACGCTAAAGAGGGGCACCACGTCTGGATTTTGCATGGCTTATGGCTTACCATCGAATCTGCTGGTCTATCGTTTGTTCCGCATGTGCAGGTATTTTATGTGTGTGTGAATAAAAGTGATATTTGTGTCTTGCAGGCGACGTTGACTCTAGTTATGGATATCATACTATCTGAGGATCATAATCATCCAGAAATAAGAGAGAGCATTGGTCGTGTGGTGAATGCTATTGTGGCTGTTCTTGGGCCCGAATTATCCTTTGGAAGCTCCCTTTACTCGCGGTGCAAGGTAACATTTCAAGCCCGCAGCTCAGATTACTGACCAGGGATCTTATGTAGTCCGTTGTATCAGTCGTAAGTTCTGGTGAGGAACCAGGAGCGCTTTTAGAGTGAGCGGGTGTACATGTTCTGGACTCTTGTTTATTTTTGTGTTTTAACGTAGGGGCGTGAGATATATACAACAGTTGGTGGTTTTCGCTCCACAGGCTCTTCCCGTCCATGCTCACGTTGAGACCCTTCTTCCGACGCTGTTCTCGAAGCAGGTTTGCTATCAATAATATTGTCTGTATCTAATCTATTACTATTGCAGCCATCTTTGAGGCATGCTGCAGTTTCGACGTTAAGGCATCTCTGTGAACGCGATCCAGTACTTTTAAAGGGATTCCTGTGAAAGAAGTCCTAACGTGATTTTTCAGGTGGCCATGAATAACGAAAGGATTGAGGAAGATTTATTTGCAATGCTAGATACCGAAACTGATTCAAAGTAAGCCTGTTTCACTCTGCTGTTTTTCAAAGTGTCTATTTTCAGGATTATTAAAACCGTCCGTCTGACGCTGCAACGCCTTCTGGATTCAGCCTGTCCGTCGTACCCCTCTCGCTGGATTCAAATATGCCGCACTGTTGTAAGATCAATTTGTAAGTTCTGTTATGTGAGTCTATACGAGTTGACCTGTGTACTGTTGATGTAGGTCCTTGCGAGCTCGAAACCAAATGTTTCGTCCTCTAATGCAATTGGTGGAGCTGAAGAGCCAGTGGGTGAAGATGATGAAGGTAGCATGATTGGTTCTCGAAATTCCGAGCCAGCGAAATCTGAAGTAAGGAGAGAAGTTGATCTTTTACCTCGTTATACAACGCGCGTTTTTGCGGCAGAGTATGTTGATTCATTTTTATATGCACACAACATTACGGGTTTTTTTTTTTTTTTCTTTTTTCAGATGTCTCAGTCGCATTCCAACTGCAGTGGGGGCTGACCCTCTGCATTTTGACATCAATCAAGCACGACAACATCTGGCAAGAAACCCGGGTGCTGACCTGCTAGTTCTTCATTTAGGCGAGCTGGTTGCACTTGCGTATCAGGTCTTGTATCGGTGTGCATTACCTGAGTCTCATATTACCGAAATGCAGGTTGCAACTGGAGCAATGGAGAGCATCAGAACTATCGGTGTCGGCCTACTGGATACAATACTTGAAAAGGTACCGCAAGTTTGTATCTATCTTGTGCAGAAACTCAATATTTTTCGTTTCGCCGCAGTTCGGAAAAACAGAAGATCCAGACCCAGAGTATGCGGGCCACCTCTTATTGGAGCAATATCAGGTTCCTCTAGGCACAGGAATTGATTAATATTGACTCTTTTTCTCTATTGTCAGGCTCAATTCTTGTCAGCTGTCCGCACGGCATTAGAACCGTCTGCCAGTCCGTTGCTTATGGCTTCAGGTGCAAGACTGGCCGCGAGGGTATGCAAAAACTTCAAAGATGATTTGTTTAATGACTGTTATTCTTTTCAGATTGTGACGAGTGGAGTTGCTGGCAATGACCGTGGAGTTCTTCAAAGAGTTTTGAACTTAATATCGCGTCCTTTGTCGAACTGGGATAGCCTCAATTACACTTCCTACGCCGAGTGGGTTTGTTGTAAGGTACGTATAATTTGAAGCACCTGACTATGCGTCGCATAAATATTCATATGCAGGTAAAAGCTGGCTTACTTGGTGCTCATGCCGCCGTGAAAACGTATGCTCTCGCCTGTTTGAAAAGCGGGCCTGAAAAGGCTGTAGTCGGAAATCTCTTGATTTCCCTTCTGGGGAACCATGTTAACTTACTCAATCGTTGCTGGATTGGCCTTCTCAAGGATTACACTATGGTTTGCACTCAATTTTCGGGAAAGATGCAGGTACGAAATCATACATTTCGGTTCTTACAAAGACTATGTCTTTGGTGCAGCAAAATTATAAACCGTTTTTGGAAGGAATGGAGTCACCAGCTATTGCTGCAAAACTTCAACCTCACCTGCACGAAGTTTCTTCACTTATCCTGGAAGCTGTTGCCGTGGATGCCGTACCTGCTTCAAACGCACTGCCTATCGAGTTGTCAACGCTGAAACCTGTTGAACTCAACAACAGCGATTTCTTGCTCATATGGGCTTTATCAGTCCTCATTTTGCTAAACAAGGGGTCGAAAGTCTCTGATCGTAGTCATCATGCCCGAAGTTTTCCTTCGTTCAGCGGAAGGATAATGGGAAACAGTCCTGCGGGAAATGCAAACTTACAGCTTGTAGCATTACGTGCTCTTCGATGCCTTTGCTCTCCCAGTTTCTACTCACCCGCAATGCTTTCAATTGACCTGTGCCAGGAACTTCTATCTGTAAGTCTAGCGCGTTACTCTTGTTTTTTTGTTGGCATTTTCTGTATCTAACGTTTCTAAACAGATGCTTCTCAATCCGAGTTTTCAGGCCTATTCTTGGGCCCCGATGGCAATCGTATGTGTCGTAGAGCAAGTGAGTTTATCCTTTCAAACCTTCTGTATTATTTTTTATTTTCTAATGCTTGCGTAGATTGTGAACTCGACGCCTGAAACATACCTTCACAACGAAGATTTAGTTGTTACCATTGTCGATATTTCCATGAGTTATTGTAGCGATCTGCTGGCCAGGTGAGACTTTGTTCCTGGATTATCACCTGAAACTCGCGCTTTTTATTTTCTTCAGCGAAGAAAATAGATGGGACACATTTGAAAGCGATGCAGTTGTTTGTTGCGCTCTTTCTACCTTAGGAAATCTGGTTGCTCGTCTAAATAGCAAGGTTTGCGACCTTGCTAAGCTTCACAAGCTTCTAATAATTGTAATGTCAGATGCAAGGCGACCTTATTCCACAACTGCTATGTGCGGGCTTGAAGCTTCTGAGCTTGCGAGGACTCTCAGGAAATGCTCTGTCATCCGTAACAACATTAGTTACATGCCTCACAACGGCTGCGTCGAAAACTGGTAAAATATTTCTCTTGGCATGCGTAGGGCTCTGATTTGATGTGTAATGCTCAGATGAGTCGTATGTGGAGTATTTCCCAGTTGAGGACAGATGCGCTGTTCTATCAGCTTCCGTTGAGAGCTTGGCATCAATGTGTGAAAAGCAGTGGAATAGTAAGAGCTTGGACCAGAACACCATACAACACGTACAAATCTTGCTGGGCATATTGGTGGCTGTAACACGCACAGTGCCAGATAGTGATGCTACCCGGAGTCTGAAATCATCTGCTCAAAAGTGCTGCATCGATTCTCTTCGTGCTGCTCTGGCGACGAACAATCCGTTGGTATGTTGTCTCTCGTGAGTGCTTTCTCCGTGGATTGTACTGACTGTCTCATTTGTCAGGTTCAACTAGCTGTTGTTCAGACTCTAAGCGCCACTGTACAAGCAGGAATCACAGAGCAACCAAAGGCTAGCAAATGTAGCTGGGCGTTGTTGCTCATGCGCGAGCTTGGGGCAGATGTCGCATGCATAGTCGAGGCTTTGCCAAAGGTTGGTGTCAGTTTGGACGAATTCGTTTCGTAACTTGTTTTCCAGGGAACGTTGTCATCCGCTCAAACCAACGCCGTTGTGGAGAGTTTGAAACTATTAGTTCAACTCCGATCCTTGGTTGAGGGTGATGATGCTCAACGAGAAGTTTTACACGTCTTGTTAATGGCGATTGTCCAAGCAACAACAGTAAGTTCGAAGTTGAGCCTCCTCATGTGTGCGTTTCTTACGCGGTTTTTGTCAGCTGGCAACATCATTCACGAGCGTGGCTGTAAAGCTTGTCACACAATTGGCATCCGTGCCTGCATCTGCCACCCAATTTAAAGCCGTGCTACTGGATCTGCCGCCTGAAGCCCGAGGAAAACTACAGGCAAGGATTTGCTGTGATTCTTTTCCTCCATCATGAGACATGTTTCTCCATCTTGCAGGAGATTATTAGAACGTCTGTGACTCAGGATGCACGCGCTTCGCCTCCTGTGCCGGGTCCAATCAAGATGCCCGTTGCCATGAAGCCACTTCCTGCGGTCATCGCAAAGCCTGCTTCGCCACCTCCAGTCCCTGCACCAGAGAGCCCGTCAAGCAACGACGAGTGGGACGATTTTCAGTGAGACAAAACAAGAGGTAAACAATGTCAGCACTCATCTATATGTCCAGAAACGACCTTGGCGTTCTTCTTACAGGCGTCAGATCTCGTCAAAACCGCGATCGAGCGAAAATATGAGATTCATTTCTATCTCCCAGTGTGGCCTTCGTAGGCGGTGTCCTTGTTGGAGGAGCCTCGGCACTTGTCCACGGGATACTTCTTGTCATTCTTGGCGAGCTTGCGAAGAGCGGCCTGGCTCAAATCCACCCCGCAGACATCCGCCAGGCGCGTGAGATAGAGCAGCACATCGGACAGCTCGTCGCCGAGATGCTCCTTCTCGGCGGCAGTCCAATCGGGAAGGCCTTTCTGGACTTCTCCCTTCCACTGGAATACTTCGGAGAGCTCGCCAACTTCGCCAACCTGTGCGCTTCCCTCCTGCAAGTAAGTCAGCTGATCTCTCTCACAGTGCAAAGCATGGAGCGTGCAAAGCAGAAAAGCACAGGGAACATACAACTCTTTAGAGACAGATGAATTTCACACGAGAGCTGTGCTTCTGGGAAACAAACAGGGACTCCTTGATATAGACTCCAGGAAACAAAACAAAACAAGCACAGGGAATGGAGGAAATGACTGGAACATATGGAAGGAGCAACAGGAAAGATGGATGGAAAGCTTTGCAGATTCATACAAGTGCCAGGAGCAGATTTCTTGGGCTGTGGAACTGGTCCCAGTCTCTGGCTTTGGCGAAATCGTCCATTTTTCTAGCCAGCTCCTGGAGGCTCAAGAGGTTGTCCTTGAGAGTGGCATTGGAAGAGGCTCCCACCATTTTGGCTGCAACAAAACAACAAGGCCCAGGGGATATATTTTTAGGGTTTAAAAAGAGGAAGGACCCTCTCTCTCTCTCCAGCCAGTTTGGCACTGGCAACCTACCACTGGTTGGCTGCCAGCTGGAAACCTCCCACAGATGTTCTTTTTCTCCAAAGATGGTGGCCACACTTGTCTTGCCTTGTGGGCCAAAATATTTACATTTTTACAGCAGGTAATTTTGTTTTTCCTTACCTGAAAGGTTAAAAGTAGGGAATATGTTCTGTTTTGGCCATTAAACTTTCGAGGTTTTCTGTTGCGTAGCTCCGCCATGGCAGCGATCACTAATCGCGCGATTGTGGCTAAGCGCGGCGATGGAGGTGAGCTGGAGCTGGAGCTCACCAGCAAGCCGGTGCCGGATCCCTCGCCAGGTCGTGTGATTGTGCGCATTCTTCTCAGGCCGATCAATCCCACGGATCTCGTCTCCATCCGCACTGGTCGATTCGGGCATCCGGTCTCTACTCCGGGCTCTGAAGGATACGGGATCGTTCACGCGGTATGTGATCAGACCATTCCTTGGAAAATTCTTGGCTCTCGTGGTTTTGGATGATTTCTCGTTGGCTATGAGCTCTCTATTTTCGTTTTGATGGCTGTCTGGGCTTTAGAACTTGAAAGTCTTGTTGCTAGCTTCTTGCAAGGAGATTCGATGCTAGCCTAGTTCTCGAATTTCCAGCGAACTTAGTTGTGAATCCCAGCTTTCGTTTTTCTTTTGCATTTGGTATGTGATCAGAGAATTCCTTGGAAAAGTCTTGGATAATTGCTCGTTTGCTACGAGTTCCATGGCTTTCTAGGCTTTAGAACTTCTTGCTAGCATTGAATTCCAGCAAACTTAGTTGTGAATCCCAGCTTACGTTTTTCTTTTGCATTTGGACTGATTGTGTCAAGTTTACAGGTCGGAGATGGTGTCACGAAAGTGAAGGTTGGACAACGCGTAGTTCCTTTCATGTGGGAGGGACTGAAGCAAACCGGCGATGGCTCGTGGCAAGACTACGTCTCCGTGCGAGAAGAGATGCTCTCTTTGGTTCCCGATTCCATTCCCGACGAAGTAGCGGCACAGTTTGTCATCAATCCCTGGACCGCCATTGGGATGCTCAGGGACCTTGCAACTCCTCGAGGGGAATACATCTTGCAAACAGCAGCTGGATCAGTGTTAGGCAGGTCTCGTGTTGATTCTTCTTTTTGTTAGGAAGGTAACTTAGCGTGTGTTTCTACAGGCAAATCATCCAGCTCGCGAAGCACTTGGGGATCAAAACCATCAACGTTGTGAGACGCGAGGAGCAAAAGGAGGAGTTGAGACAACTCGGAGCCGACGAAGTTATATGCTCCACCACCGAAGGTGACGGCGTTCGAGTGAATTCTTGTTCTTGGTAACTTATCTCCTCTTCCAGACGTTGTTGCGAGAGTGAAGGAGATCACGGACAAAAAACTGGTCCACGGGGCTCTAGATTGCGTTGGAGGAGAGCTAACAAAGGTTTTGCTTTTCATGGAAGAATTTCTCGGGCTTTACTCGTCTTTTGCTTCGATTTTCCAGAGTGTGGCCGCAAGCGTGAGGCGAGGGGGCACGGTTTTCGTTTACGGCGTTCTGTCCTCCATGGAAGCAAGCATCCGCATCCACGATCTGCTCCGGCAAGTTCGCGTTACCGGCTGGATCCTCGTGAATCACTGGGAGATCGAGCAGGAGAGAAACGCTTTCATCAGCGAAGCGTGGAAGCTCTTGGAATCCAAAGTCATCCAGCCCTTTTCCGGCAAGAGATTCCCTCTCTCCGAGTTTAAGGCTGCGATGGAAGCCTCGGAAACAATGGCAAGAGGTGGAAAAGTTTTCCTTGAGAGCTGAAAAACTTTATGAAGTGCTAAATAAATGTAAAGTTAAGAATATTATCTTTAACTTTATTTAATACCTTTTCTTTTTCAAAACATGGTTTATATTTAGTAGTGTGAGTGATTGGAATATGGAAAGGAATACAGAAAATGTGCATATTAATTAACCCAAAAACTCTAACCCAAAAACTCTAATTTATATACAGGAGTGAGTGGCCTGGACTGAAACCAATCCAACGGCTATCAAAATCCCACTATGCTAATATTAGTATACAACATCGTAACCATACATTTAGCCTTTACATCATCCCCTCCTCTTGGAATAATGAAAAGCCATTAAGGTTCTTTTGTAGATAGGCTGGGATCTAAAGGAACATTAGGAGAAGGTATCGGTGGATCTGTAGATGGTATTAACTATTCTTGATCCCTTTGTATGAAACGTTTTAACTATTGCACATGCACAATCTCCAGAGGATTGGCTTGCTGAACATCATGCCGAACATCATAAACTTGTAGTCCAACTTGCCACAACACCTGATACGGTCCTTTCCACTGCACAAGGAGCCCCTTAGATAAACCACGTACTGTAAGATGGGGAAAACGAACTAACACTAAATCATTCATTTTGTACTTCATAGGTAGATGATGATGGGAATTGTAGTGCCATTTTTCTCCCACTTGTATGCGGCCTAAGTGTTCAATAGACTTTGCTCGGACAAATGGAGAATGCTCATCAAATATTAATCCCACGACCTAGCATTGAGAGCTTGTGGAAATTGCGAAGGTAAACCCAGCTCCGTTTGTAATATTGGATTATGACCATATAAGAGTTATATGGTGAAGCACCAACAGAATTCTACACCCCTGTGACATAGGCATACCGAAGAGACGGCAAATAACCATCCCAATCCGAATGCTGAAAGTTCACATACTTCGCAATCACCCCTTTGAATGTCCAAACGAGCAGTTCCACCATACCGTCTGATTGTGGATGATAAACACTCGTGAAAGTGTAGCGTATCCCCAACCAAGACGTCAAAACATGAAATGCCTCAGCCATAAATGCGGGACCATTATCCGAAAGAATCCGCTTTGGACAAGAATGCTAGAACACCACTCAATTAAGGAGGAAGTATCTAACAGCAGTTGCAGAGGCACTAGCAAGAGCATCAACTTCCACCTAATGAGTTAAGTAGTCAGAAGCAATAATAACATACTCATTGCCAACAGTCGATCGTGGAAAAGGTCCCATAAGATTAAACACCACTAACTCAAATGGACGGGAAACTACAATAGACTCCAACTGTCCTTTCGTAGCACGAGGGGGAGTATTATGAATTTGGCACCAAATGCAACTACGCACATATCGAATAATATCATGTTGCATCTCCGGCCAATAGAAAGACTTGTGCAGCTTCTCGATTACATGACGATGTCCCATATGCCCACCTAAAACAAGAGAATCATGGTAAGTATGGAGAAACCGCGGGATAAAGACAAAAGGTACCACTAGCCATAAATGATCATCAAGATCCATCCCTACAAAATAAAGAAGGCCATCTTCAAGATGATACTGAGAATGTAAATGTTGGAATGGCAAGTCATCAATAAGTGATGTAAGATTCTCAAACCCATATCGAAGCCTTTATATCCATAGCTCAAATTTTTGAGCCTCGCGAACCTTATCAAGAAAAGGTAGTGTGAGACATAAAATCCCTAGGCCCCAAAGTGGAGCCGGAAGGGCGCCACGTGGTAGTGGCCGAAGCGAGAGCCAAACGAGCGTAACACGTTTGGACCAAAAGCTCCGACTTGAAAAGTCAAGAGCGGGAGTGGAACTCCCAAAGAAGCGCTCGAGGAATGAGCACGAAGCGAGCCATAGGCAAGGCTCCAAAAAGGGACCCAAAAAGGACCAACACATGACACGTGGAAGTGTCCGAGATGGACCCAAGTTGGAGTCCGAGATGGAGTCTGAGATGGAGTCCGAGATGGAGTCCGAGGTGGACCCGAGATGGACCCGAGATGGAGTCCGAGATGGACCCGAGATGGACCCGAGATGGAGTCCGAGATGGAGTCCGAGATGGACCCGAGATGGAGTCCGAGATGGACCCGAGATGGAGTCCGAGATGAAGTCCGAGATGGAGTCCGAGATGGACCCGAGATGGAGTCTGAGATGGACCCGAAGTGGAGTCCGAGATGGACCCGAGATGGAGTCCGAGATGGAGTCCGAGATGGAACCGGGACTGAGACCAAGACCGAGACCGAGACCGAGACCGAGACTGAGACCGAGACCGAGACTGAGACCGAGATCGGGACCGAGACCGAGACCAAGGCCGAGGCCGAGACCGAGCCCGAGCCCGAGTCCGAGTCCGAGTCCGAGTCCGAGTCCGAGTCCGAGTCCGAGTCCGAGTCCGAGTTCGAGTCTGAGAGGGTGAAAGCCCAAAGCGTTCGTCTCCCAGACCCTGGGGGGTTTGGTGAGCTCCAAAAGTATAGTAGGAGTGGAGCCAGTTTGGCCAGGAAAGGCCAGTTTGGCCCAAGAAGGCCGGACCCAGTGTTGGGTGATGAGCTGCCCACTGGGAAGTCCAAGACTAGAGTGAATACGAACCGACAAGCGGGGTAGCTTGGTGAAGTGTTCAAGAGTCGGCTCTAGTTCCCCCGGGAGATCGACTGGCCGATGCTCCCAGTCCAAGTGTGGGTGGCACTACCTACTTGGATACCTGTCGTGGCTCAACGGAACCTCGCTCTAAGCCCATGGCTAGAGCACCTAAAGGCGGAAGGCGGGGAGAGTACCCATGAGGCCCACGTAGGGTCACGGTGTTCCGAAATGGTGTCCCAAAGTCCCGGACTGTGGAAAGGAAGAGGGGTAGCCCTCTGGTGTGGTGACCAAGGACACAGTCACACAGTGAGGAAGTCCTAGAGGATAGTGGGACTTAGTGGTCAGGCCGGTGGGCCTTGATCCAGTGGCAATGTTGGCGAACACAGCTAAGGACAGAAAGGGACTTGGTGGGGACCGGAACAGAGATATTGGGGAAGGCTATTCCCCGTGTCTGTAAGCATCCTAAGGATGTTAAGGAGTGGATCTGGGATGATCCCTCATGGACGGATGACCCAGTCTTTGAGATATGGGATTGGAATGCAAGTGGTGTTGGACCACCAGTGTGACCAAGGTAATTGGGCATGGCCTTAGCGTAACGGGCCGATACGTTGGTGGTACCTTGGGGTGTCGATCATGGGATCGGACACGTGGAGCACTCGGACCAAGTGCTAAGGTTGAGTGGCATGGATGCCATTCTCGGGGCTAGCAAGCCCCCAGTCTTGAGTTGGACTTATGGAGGTTGTGAATGAGACTCCTCCAA